AAAACTAAAAACACACACACACAAAAAGGAAAAAATAATCCAATCAATAAATGGACAAGAAAACTAAACATGCATTTATCAACAAAAGGAGCTCAAATGGTCATAAAATATATGAAAAATATTTAATATCTCTAGCAATCAGGGAGATGCAAATCACAACTACATTGATATTTAATCTCATGCCAATTGCAAAGGCAATCATTAAGAATACAATAGCAACAAATTCTGGAAAAACTGTGGGGGAAAGGATATATTCATATATTGTTAGTGGGGCTTCAAATTAGGACAACTACTCTGGAAAGCAGTATGGAGGTTCCTTTAAAATCTAGGAATGGTAGCACCATATGGCCCAGCTATCCCACTATTTCATATTTATCCAAAGGAGCTAAAATGAGCACACTGTACTGATGCAGGTACATCAATGTTTACAGCAGCACAATTCACAACATCCACTTTATGTAACCAACCCTGGTATTCATCAACACATGAATTGATAATGAAAATATTATATATATATATATGATATATGTATATGTATGATATATATATACATATGTATGTATACATACACAATGGAATTTTATTCAGGCATGCATAGAATAAAATTATGTAATTTTCTAGTAAATTGATGGAATTGGAGAATATTATGCTAAGTGATGTAAGCCAGACTCAGAAAACAAGATTCAAATATTTTCTTTCATATGCAGAAATGAGAGCAAAATTAAGCAAAAAAACGTTGAGGGGATATCACATAAACATAAAAGGGAGATTAGCAGAGTAGAGAAAGGGGATGGGAGAAGGAAGAGGGATGGAACTGTAAAATGAAATTGCCCAAGCTCCCAGGTGCTGTGACACTTGCCCATAATCCCAATGGCTCCGGAGGCTAAGGTAGGAGGATCACAAGTTCCAGGATAGCCTCAGCAACTTAGCTAGGTCCTAAGCAATTTAGCAAGACTCTGTCTCAAAAAAAAAAATGAGAAATGGAAATAAAAGGGGCTGGTGATGTGGCTCAGGGGTTAAGTGTCCATGGGTTCAGTCTCTGATACAAGTAAAGAAAAAAATGACCAAACTATACTTTGAACATATATGAATATAGTATAGTGAATTTGATCTTTATGTGTACCTAAAAATCATCAATTTAAAATAATAAATTGATTATTATATTTTTAATAATACAAAGATTATTTTTATTATTAAAATAAAATAATAAAAATAGAGGAAGACGAACATGTGGAAGAGGAGAAGGAAAATGGAAATACTGGGGAATAATATGGAGTAAACTATAGTTCATGCATGTATGATTATGTAAAAATAAACTTCATTATTATATGTAATACACAAATAATATTTTAAAAGCAATTGTTAAAAAATAAGTGTGATATTTATTGTTTTTCAATATATTTGGTTTTTTATAATTTTAGTGACCTAATATGTAGCTAGAGATTTAAATATTCCAGTGGCATACAGAAAGAAGGTGCATGTTCTAGTATCTAGGAGAAAAATTTCATATGATCCCATTAAATCATTTTTTTTACATTTGACTTACTCATATACTTGCCATACTTGCTATGTTTTTTGTACACTGTATTTCTTTTTATTTAATTTGTTCCAGTTTTGCTTTAGGAATTTTAATATTATATTATTTGCCACACACAGGTTCATGAATCTTAGAAATTCTTCATGGATTAAATTTTGAATGAAGTATTTCTCAGTTTTTCAATAAACAAATGCCAATTCAACCTTGCCTGACATTGATATTGTAGCTGCACCTATCTGTTGTTATACATGATTTTACTTTAATCTTTCTGAATCAATTTATTTTACAGGACTAATACAATTTGAACTTAAATTTTCCTTGATCAATCACCTCCTCAAAGAATTCTTTGTTAAGACTTAACCTCTGCCATTCAACCATTCAGTATTTTAATCTACTCTACTTTCTTTCATAACAATTCTCACCGCTTGAAAAGTACCCCCACATACATACACACACAAAAAAAATTATTGATGTATGTTATAGTTAATTTTCCACCTCACCCAGTAGAATGCAAACCCCATGAGGACAAGGACTTTTTATATCTTAATTTACTATTTTATCACCAGTGCTTCAAGTACATCTTTTTTGTTTTAAATAATTAATTTATTCATTGATATTGATTAACTCTGGTCTTTTATATAAATCCCTACCTCTCACCATGCACAAAACTCAACTCAAAGTGGATTAAGGACATAGGAATTAAATTAAAGACTCTACATCAAATAGAAGAAAAAGTAGGCCCTAATCTTCATCATATGGGATTAGGCCCCAATTTCTTAATAAGACCCTTATAGCACAAAAATTAAAGTCAAGGATCAATAAATTGGATATGCTCAAACTAAAAAGTTTCTCCTCAGCAAAAGAAACAATCTATGAGGTGAATAGAGAATTATACCCCTCACACATCAGATAGAGCACTAATCTCTAGGGTATATTAAGAACTCAAAAAGGTAAGCACAAAAAAAACCCCAAATAATCTAATCAGTAAGTGGGCCAAAAACCTGAACAGACACTTCTCAGAAGAGGATAGACAATCAACCAATAAATATAAGAAAATAAGTTCATCATATCTAGCAATTAGAGAAATGCAAATCAAAAGTACTTCAAGATATCATCTCACTCTAGTCATTATGGCAGCTATTATAGAGACAAACAACAATAAGTGTTGTCGAGGATGTGGGGGAAAAGGTATACTTTACACTGCTAGTGGGACTGCAAATTGGTGCACCCTTTATGGAAAGCAGTATGGAGATTCCTTGGAAATCTGGGAATGGAACCACCATTTGAATTAGCTATCCCTCTCCTTGGTCTATACCCAAAGGATTTCAAAAGAGCATACTACAGGGACACAGCCACATCAATGTTTATAGCAGCACAATTCACAATAGCTAAACTATGGAGCCAAACTAGATGCCCTTTAGTAGATGAATGGATAAAAAAAATATGGTATATATACACAATGGAATATTAATCAGCAATAAAAGAGAATAAAATCATGGCATTTGCAGGTAAATGGATTGCATTATAGAAGATAATGAAAAGTAAAGTTAGACAATCCCCCCCCAAAAAACAAATGCCAAATGTTTTCTCTGATATAAGGAGGCTGATTCATAGTGGGGTAGGGAGGGAGAGCATGGGAGGAATAGACAAACTCTAGATAGGGCAGAGGGGTTGGAGATAAAGGGAGGGGGCAGGGGGTTAGCAAAGATGGTGGAATGTGATAGACATCATTATCCAAAGTATGTGTATGAAGACATGAATTGGTATCAACATACTTTATATACAACCAGAGGTATGAAAACTTGTGCTGTATACCTGTAATAAGAATTGTAATACATTCTTCTGACATTTATTTTTTTAAACCAATAAAAAATTAATGTTAACCACTGTCTTTAAAACTTTTGTCTATTGCCTCCAAATTTTTCTTTCTTCATTTTACTAGACGTATATGTTCTAGTTTATGATATTGACATAGTGGTCTGAAATCACATTGTTCCAGCTTTGGGATTTTGCATAGGCCTTATTAACCCATAGTCAGAAAGTTAGATATAAATAGGAACTTCATTATGAATTTGTCCACAAACTCCCTAGTGCAGTTAATATTATACTTAATCCTCATTTTCAAATTTGTTAAATCTATACCTATTTTTACATCTAAATAGCTTTGGAAATTAAGAACTTTGGGCTTCTCTTCCTCATCTTTTTTCCAGCCAGAGATTCCTGGATGTTTAATTGTTGCTGTGGTGGTGGTGGTAGCTGTAGGTATATTGCCCCTGCATAAGCATGGAAGTAGAAAGGTTGAATGCCATACCTATCCCCCTAGAAAACTCACTTGACCTCTTCACTATATTTTTATCTAGATTAGAGTGACACTTCTGCAAATGCTGTTCACTTTCTTCCAACCAATACTATACTAAGTGCCATCACTGAACCAGTTTTCAAAAACTATGTATAAAACATATGTACTACTATAAAATCATTTTTCTCTTGGATTTTGAACACCACTTTTCGGAGTGCCTGGCAAGATATTATGCTTCATTCCTTTTTTTTTTATTTTGCTGATGTATTTGTTGCTCATTTTAAAACTTTTTTGGTTATGGAATTGTTGTTTTGAGAAATTTATTTTGTGATCTGTCTTTATCCTACTACAATCAGAATTCCTTACAGACTGAATATTTTTAAATATCACTTGATGTATAGAGGATGAATGTTTGATAGATGGATACAAGTATAAATTCAGGGATAGAATGAGGATAGAGAATAGATTGGAAGAAACCAAGGATCAGAAAGACAATTTAGAAGAATGTTTTATTCATCCTGCAGAAAAGTAATAATGACATGTATTATACTAGTGATAGGGAAGGTAGATACAACTGGGTAAAATTTGCAATATACTTTGGGGTATAACTGACAAGTCTTGGTGACTGGGAGTAGGACTGATTAAGAAGGGCCAAAAATAAAGCTAACTTCCAGGTTTGGGGGCATGAATAAATTAAGTTCCTTATGCAGAGATAAGAGATACAGGGAGGAGAGGCAGAATTGGGTACACTACAATAACAAGTAAAAGTCTGATATGTCTAGAAAATTTCCAAGTGAAACTCAGAATTTAACATCACACATGTAAGATAATTAGAGAGTCACAGAAGAGATGGATGATATTTAAAGTAACACCCGTTAGTGAAACACATTGAATATTTTGTGTGTAAACCTATAATTAATAAATGAAATGTTAGGTAATAGATTTATTTCTTCCTCTCCATCATGCCTCTCCAGTTTTGTGAAATATTCTGGTGGTATCTGAATAAGCCAGAGGGGCGTGACCATGACTGGGAGAGGCATACTCTCCCCCTTGCCAGAGTATACCGGAAGGGTGTGGCTGTGACTGAGAGATATGGCTTTCCCAAGGCTGATGCAACATTAAGATTGTGACATAGCACTGTGTTGCTAGGTTACTGGTCAAAAACTGAAGACAGCTTTAATCCTCAGATGAGAGCAGCCTCTGCCAGAGCCAGATGTTGCTGGTAAGACCCGAAGACAGACAGATCCCAAAGTGGATCTAAGAAACTGTGCGGATGCTTAAAAGACGGTAAGGTAGCATTGCCTCACAGCATTTTTAAGAACACGTATCTGAAATGTCCTTCAACAAAGAGAAAGATGAAGAGCATTCACATACACTGGCAGTGTCCAGAAAAGTTCAAGATGAGTTAATTTATGTAATCCACACTTCTTTAAATAATGTAGCAACACAAATAAACAATCTCAACAAATATGCTGAAGACCTACTTGGCGGAATATCCAATGAGGTTGAAGACATCTCTTGCAGACTTAATTCTTTACAAGAACGTGTAATCCAGTTAACTGATGTTATTAACAACAAAGATGCAAAGAAAGACTTGTGCTTCCGAGCTATAAAGTCAGAGAAGGATTCTCAAAGTACAACCAGTGAAACAAAGCAGGTATGCTCCTCTGACCCATTACCTTTTAAATCATATGAAACACATGATGCTTCTGTGCAGACTTTACCAATCAACTTACCTACTTGTTTCCCAGATGATGGAGAAAGTTTAAAGATTTTTTGTGATGCTTCATATTACTTTGAAACATGTACTACAGAAAAGCTTACACCTCATAATAAAGAAGAAAAACAGGAAAAACCCAAACACAGAAGGAATAACATAGATTATCCCAATGAAACAGAAAGTAGGCCTCAAATTCAACTGGTGGATAATTATGTTCCAGTGAACCACATACAAGATGCTTGTAGAGAGTTCTCTCATTCATGTGTCAATCAACCAGATGCACGTTGCCCACCTTCCGAGTTTCCGTTTACTGAAATCAGCAAGCTTTTAACAAGAGCTGTAGGCAAAGTGTTATGCAGCCCTCTAAATATTCCAAGGAATGGATCTGGAGACCTGAAAAATTCACTTACATATGTCAATTATGGAACTGGAATGGGAGAAGTAGTACAACCCCAACCTCGAATTCGTCTTAAAACAGAGGTGTTTGTGAGTCCCACAGCACCAACTTCACCACCTCCATTACCACCTGACTGGTTAGCTCTACTAAGAGCTTCAAAGATGGCAACTTCTCCTCCAATTGTACAATCTCAAACAGAGCTTCCACCACCAATTTTGATACCAGCAGAAGAAATGCCTCTTCCTGATTGCCTTGAGAGTACTCCTGAGGTAGGTCTTCCAATTCCTCCACCTAAAGTGGACTTATCTCCTCCAGTCTCTAAACCTCTTCAGTATTATGAAATGATACCACATGATCTGTTTCCAAAAGATAAAGAAAAGACACCATCTCCACCTATGTCTCCTTGTCCAGTAATCTCACATAGAATTGAAAGAAAAACTACAGTTACAGATCTAGTTGACTGTGCTTCAGTTATGCAGTCACCAACATCTTCAGATTTTCCAACTGCAAGGTCTTCCTTTGCAAAATCAACAAGGCCTTCAACTGAAAAATCACCAAAATGTTCAGTTCTATCAAAACCAAGATCTTCACTTCCACCAACAACAAGATATGTGATTACACCAGTATCAAAATCATCAGCTGCACCATTACCTAGATGTTCAGTTCCACAGACTTCACAAAGTTCAGCCTCACTATCATGTTCTAATCCCAAAGCTCCAAGATCTTCAGTTCCATTAACAAGATATTCATTTTCACAACCAACAAGAAGCTCAGTTGCCCCATTACAAAGACATTTAGATTTAAAATCAAAAAGATCTTCAGCTGCTACATCAGGATGGACTCCAGTTGTGCGATCAACAGGACAACCACAACGATCCTCAAGTTTAAAGTCAACAAGATCTTTTAACCTACAGTCATTGTTTTCTTTTGCACAATCACCACCATCTTGCATTTCAAGCCCTCAAGCTCTAACAGTGCCCCAGTCTTCATCAGCTTCACTTAATCCTGGTACAAAACCATCTCCATCAACAACACCAATATTCAGTAAAGCAAGAAATGTCCTGATGGAAGCTATAAGAAAAGGTGTTCTTCTACGCAAAACTGAAGATCACTGTATACTGAAAGCCAAAATAGATATTTCTAAAAATGAAGAAACTTCTATCCTGATCCATCGTAAAGCTCTAGGATATAATTCTGATAAATTCGAGAATAAGGCTGATTGGATTGAGGGAAATGAGCAAAACAAATAAATCCAAGTTAGTTAAAAATAACATTCTACTTTTTTATTCTTTGTTAAGTCTTTACTAATGATTTCTACTTTTTTTCTTACAATAAGCCATTACCTCCTTATCTTCCAAGAAAAATGTTGTCATATATTCTTTATTAAATATTTTACTACTATTCAACTGAAGCAAAATTTCTAAATAGTAAGCAGAACTTGTAAAGATGATTTTAAAAGGCAACTAACTTTTAAATTCCAAGAGTATTCAGTCACTGTATTCAACTTCAAGTAGCATTTAATACAAGCATTCAAAATGTCCTCCTCAATTATATAGAATACTCAAATAATATATAGCTCTATCTATACCTCAATGAATAAGGAATAATTAGATTTTAGCTTTTATAAATTAATCATATTTGACAAAATCGGTATATATTATTCAAGTACAACATGATGCCAAAAAATATATACATATTCTGAAATGAATAAATTGATGTAGCTCACATACATATTACATCACCTACTTATAATTTTAGTGGTATATGCACTTAAAATTAATTTTTAAGAATACAATATATTATTATTAAATACAGTGACCATATTATACAATATATCAGTTAAGGTTTTCCTTCTTATTTTATAAAATTTGTGTATCTTTTGATTTAACAACTTATACTTACAACCCCATAACCATAATTATCCTCTACAATTCTGTGAGTTTGAATTTTATATTTCCCATACAAGTGAGATCATACATATGTCTTTCAGTGCCTGACTTATTCCATTTAACATAAGAGCTTAAAGGGTTATCTATATTGTTGAAAATAATAAGGTTTCCTTCTTTGTTAAAGCTAAATATTGTTCTCCTGTGTATATATAACACTTTTCTTTATTCATTAATTCATTGATGAGAAGAACTCTCCTATTTCTTCCAGAAAAAAAAAACCCTACCTGACTACAATTATCACCTAGTTAATCCATTCAAGTGGATTAACACATTGATTTGGTTAGCCTCTCGTAACCCAATCATTTCACTTCAAAACTTTTCCTGCATTATCACACATGAGCTTTTGGGGATTCCTCATATCAAAACTATAACACTTTCTATCCCAATTTTGTGGCTGCCATGTGTAATGACTTTCATTCTTTTTTTGTTTATGCAAATACAAACAAATATAAATGTGTATTTTATTTTCACGATTTACCTTTAGCAAATGTGGCATATGTGAGAGATATCTTTGTTTGGTTTATTCATTACTTTTTTAGTGTCATACATTCTGAACATCTATTCATATTAGTACCTAGAAAGATTTCTCATATTTTATAATTGCACAGTATCTCATTGTGTATATACTTATATAAAAATGTAAACAGTTCTCCATAGATGTCTTTCTGTTATTTTCAGTCTTTTGTTATCACAACATAATGTAAAAATTTACTTTTTCAGAAAGTTAAATATGAAAAAAAGGTGAAGCAATAACAAGAAAGGTTTCAACTGAACTAACGAAAATGAAATATTTTTTTTTATTTCAAAAGTCATAGGCAAAATTTAAAGCTTGGATATAAAAAGAACCCTGCAAAAATGACTGCCCAAATTGTATTATTTAATATATAATGAGATTAAGAAATCAGGATAGAATACCATAGAAATGTAAGAAAAAGAACCTTCATAATCATTTAAAATATTCCACAATTATAAAACAATGAAAACAAATAGAAAATATAATAAAAAAATTAAAATTACATAGTTTACAGACATTGGAATCCATGAATCTATATAGTTTCAGATCAGATAAATGGAAGAATATTTTAAAACATCATAAGCCTTGAATTTAAAGAAAAAAGTAGATTATGGTATAAATATACTGGTGGGAAAAATAAATACAGATGATATATAAATGCTCAGTTTTTTATTTCTTTATACAACCTTAAAAAGCACAAAAGCAATAGACACAAAATTCGTGCTTCAAGTTGCTGAAAGATGAGGAGGAAAAAAGGACCAGTACTAAAAATAAAAAAGTGCTAACATATAGCAAATGCAAAGTAGTGTTTTCCAAACACAATATAGTATGAAATAAATATTTTTAAAAGTAGAAAAAATAATTTTAATCACTCTAAGAAAAAGAGTATCTTCTAAGTTGTCTTTGAATCAATATAAAATTTGGGTATCCTCCAATTGGACCAAAATATTCTCCTAATTCAATGTAACTGATACCAAGTAGAATATTTATGAAAATAATTTTCTTGAAAGACCAAATAACCCAAGTCTTTGTCTATTCTTACATGTAGCTGGTAAATAAATAATACAAACCTACATTTTCTTAGTTTTCTTAGGGTAGAATTTTAATGATTTATAGATAAACAGGAAGGGTGCCCAAATAAAATCTCCATATGCTATTTTGAGGGAAATAGCAGTTCTGGTGTGTCTAAGGTAACAGCAACATTAATAAGAACAACATCTTTCATTTCTTTAGTCCTTACTACACTTGAGAAATCATGGCAAAATGCTTGGTAGATATTTTCTCACTTATCTTCACAACAACATTATGCAACTGACACCTTTGTTATGTGATTTATCAAAAAAGGAAACTATATTAGTTTCAAATATATTAATTGACTTGCCCAAGGTTATATATCCAGTAACTTGAAGAGTTGGGATTTGAAACCAGGTCATTAAAATCCAGAGCCCACATGCTTAATTAATACATACGGGATAACAAGTAAGGAAAATACAGAGGAAGGAAGGAAAGAAACATTAGAAAGTAAAAGGACTGTTTTGCACTCCAAGACATAAAAGAATTTTAGAAGTTTCATTCATTTAAGTCTAAAAATCAGTACCTAATTTTATAAAATGAGAACCAAAAAACACATTAATTGTGTCTTAAGTAGAAGTTAGTATATAAAGATAACAACAAAAATAAAAATTATTCTTAAATTGCCATAAAATATATGTAAACTTATTTTAATATTCAGGTAACTATAGTCACTCTTATAGAAAATCATCTATCAAAACCAGAATGCAAGAGAAAAACAAAGATAAAAGAAAATTCTTTATGTGAACTTTTGGGTATGGAAATCATTCTGTCTCTTATAGCTATTTAATATCTAGGAACACATTCCTGTATGCCTACAATCAACATAATAGGAGGATATATTTGCAAAATTGTGTATTCTGGATATTAAACTTTATAAGACATAGGATTTTGCAAATATATTCTCCTATAATTACCTTATTAGGGTTAATATCCAGACTTCATAAATAACTCCTACAACAACAAAAATACAATTTTAATTATGAAATAGGCAATAGATTTGAATAGATATTTCTTCAAAGAAGAAGACAAAAATAGCATATAAAGTGTGCTTAATATCATTAGTCATTCAGTAATTTCAAAGAACACCACAATAAGATACTATTTCACAGCTACTATGACTGCTATTATTAAAAATAAGACATAGTCTTATTTTGGCAAAAGTGTGCAGAAAATGGAACAGTTACACATATCTGGAGGCAGTATGGCTTTTGCAGCCACTGTGAAAAAATTACGGATGGTTACCCCAAAAGTTAACAATACAATTGCCTTATGATATATA